CATGGCTTTCTACAATCCTATCTCGGTTCTTGCTAGTTTGGGGCGCACCATCTTGTTGCACAGCGAAATCTCAACCTGTTCGGTATTCTGACCGCATCGATTCAATTTGTTGGCAAAATGATCGGTCGCTCATGTTGTCCAGCGTCCAACCTCTGCAGGCACCATCAAGGACCTGAGTCGTGCGTCCTCCAGCTCAAACCGAGTAGGGCCGTAGATCTAGTTCGAGCAAGGCATTTGAGGCACTCGTGGTGAACAATCTGCAACGGTCCTCTTCCGCTAGGGCTGCAGTGGCTTGTATCAGCTGCTTCACCTGGGATTTGAGCAGCAGCACCTTCAGGGTGCTCATGCAAATGAGAAATGCAAAGCTGCCTCTCCTTCTCTGTCCCTCTGCTTTCACCTCTTGTCTTCCTGCTTCCGCTTCCGCTCCCATTGCTTCCATCCGTTCCCTTTCCACTCCCTTCCGTTCCCCTTCCCCGCCTCGCTGAGCTTTCCAGCGCCCAAGTCCAGCTCTAGGAAGACGCGGCCTTCGCTGGGCACGTGAGCGAGCTTCAAGTTGGTACCGGTGGGTTGCCTTGGAATGCGTGACTCGGGGCGCAGAAGAGCGCAAAAATATGCAAAGATTCCGAACACCTCAAGCTATCTCAGGCTTGGTCAGAACATATTTGGCATTCTTCAAGCACGCCAGTCCGCCACAGCAAAGCTGAATTGAGAAGCCTTCAATCCTGGCCGCAAGCAACCGTAGGTCGGCAGTGATGGCTGAATTGTGGTGCGCCATCTCCGGACATGTGCACCACTGTATGCTTCCGATCTTACAATCCATTAATCCGAGCGCGTTCAAGCGCGTCAAGAGCTGGATCGTGTCCTCATAATCTTGTACATTGCGTCATCTGCCTAAGGAAAACATAAGACAAGAAGGCTTAAGCAAGATCAAAAGACTTCTGCTGTGCCTCAGCACTTGGGGCATCTAGCCTGTTCCGACTAAGGTGTGCGGCCAAAATGACGAACAGAACTCCAGCTGTCGACGGTAATGCAGCCTCGATGCAATGGTGACGACTTCACCGTTCACAGGCTCCTTGCATTTCTCTCGACTTGCCAAAAGTTGTTGTGTGGGTGTGACTCTGAAAAGAACCCTTCATCGCCTGACCGACCTAAAGCAAACTTCTCGATTCCTTTGATCCTCTGATCCAATCCTTTGGCTGAAGTGGCTCCTTGAAGTTCTTGTCCGTGGAAAGCACAGCCAGGTGGGGCAAGTTGACACGTGCGGCAATTCCCAAGGCTTGGCTGCTGAAGGAGACGCTGATGTCTCGGATGCCCACCCTCACGTTGTTGATGAACCTCTTGCCGCACGATGCCACAGATCGTTGACTTTAGCCCTGGTAAACCCATGTTTGTAAATTTCTAAAACAAGGGTGTTGCTACCAGCAGGGTAGGGTAGCCAACAAAAGATCTGGCAACGCTAGTCGAGGGTGTAGATGGAGGCTCAGTTGAGTCTGGAACTAATTCATTCCTTCGCTGAGTACAAAGTCTTGGGGCTGCAAACCCGGCATGTTTGTCCATGGTTTCTTGCTTCTGCTGCAATTCCTGCATTCACCTTGGCGTAATTTTAGTGTGTTTTGTTTCTCCATGATGAGACATGAGCAATTTCAAGGGCTGGTTGAAAGGAATTTGAGCACTGTATCTGCTTCTGTGGATTGCTTGTGATGCTCGTTATTGCTTGGATTGCTTGTTCCTATTCTGGCTATTTGTGCTCTGCTTGTTGCGGTACTTGTGCTGGGCACAAGACGGTGCCATGGTGCAGTTGGGCTAGGTGGATACCAAATTCGGTAAGGCCGGCAGGACGTGAAGCCCGAGCTCTCGCCTGCGGATCACCTTCATAGCAAAACCATCATCAGCTCCAGACATTCCTTCTTCAGCCTGGCAGGTAGGCGGAGGCAAATCAAACGCAAGTCTTGCTTGCTATGCATCGCAATTCGGGTTGAATCCCTGCATTTGGCTAACCTGCTGTGTGCTATCCTGGCTCATGTCCGGTTGGTCAGCGGAAACGACACTCGACAGGCCTTGCGGCGCTGCTCCAGAAGGTTGCGCACCTGCTCCACACGGAGGTCGACCGCTTGCTGCTTGGCCTTGCAAAATAGTGCAACGCATGCAAACCACTTCATTACTTGCATTACTTACATTACTTACATTCCTTGCATTACTTGCATTACTTGATTGCCACATTGCTTGACTGGCGACTGCATTGGTTGATAACTTACTTGATGACTTTAGCATTTGGTGACTTATTATGTGATGTCTTACTTGCATGATGGGTCATTTCATAATCACGTGCTTGATGTCTTAAGTGGCAGTATTGTGTGATTGCGCGATCGATTTTCTCCAGGCGATGTTGTGATCGCTCAACTACGTGATTGCAGCATGACGTGTTTTGTTCTTGCGCGATTGCTTGAATGGTTGAAAGGAACTCCGAGTCCGAGTTGCAGTGGTGTCATCACTTGTTACGTGATTGCGCCACTGATCACACGCTTACTCGGTGACTTGAATAGTTGCTTGCTTGCTTGCTTGCTTGCTTGATTGATTGATTGATTGATTGATTGATTGATTGATTGATTGATTGATTGATTGGTATTGAAGAAAGGAATCCCCGGATTGATTCATATCGTGACAACATGACATTGTGATTATGGATGGCTTAACTATGATTGGTAAGTTAATGGCTTTAATCTGAGGACTGCTATTTTCGTTATGAGAATAAGTTTAGTGGATTCCGCATGGCCACATTGTTTGATTGTCGGTTTACATGATCGCTAGGTTGTTCGATTCAAAGAGTACAGCATCACGTGAATGCGAGTTTGCCGTGACGATGGCGTGATTCATACATTGCTTCATTCCTGCACTACATGATTGCCCAAGCAACATGGGTTTACAGGATTACTTGAGTTTGACTGACTTGAGTTTTCAATTCTGCGAGAATAGATTGGTGAGCTGGTTGCCAGTTTGCTTCAATGCATGACTGCTTAATTAGTGGATAACCTATGATATTCATAATCTATGGATTGTTCACTACTCGGTTGTAAGTTGTAACTTTACACAATTGCTTTATCAGCTTTACCTTATCAGTTTGCACCGTACTCATTTAATGGCATGATTAGACGTCAGATTACTCAATACTTGATAACTTGCGCATTCGCTTGACTACTTGATTGCTTGATTGCTTGGCTGCTTGATTCTGGGATTGTTGGATAATTAGCTTACATGGTTCTTGATTGCTTGATTGCCTCACTACTTGATTGCCTGATTGCTTGACAGCGTGATTTCTTGATTGCCTGATTCTGATGTTGCCTCACGAGTTGATTGATTCTATGCTGAAGTCTTGGTTACTAGATTGATTCATTACGTGAACAATTCATTGATTGGCAAATTGACTGAGTATCTGATTACTTGATTGCCCAGTCATTTTGATTGTGCAAATGTGCTTGTGTGATTGCCCAAAGGTGCTTCTTGCTTGTTCATCTGCTTTAATCGGTTGGTAAATTTGGTTGTCTGATTACTTTATTACCGGCTTGCTGCTTGCGTGATTGCTATTGGACTCTTTTTGACTGCGTCCCGAGCTGATTGCCTCCACGCTTGCCAACTTTGTAGCTAACCAACTTGATATTTGATTACATGCCTTAATAAGTAAGAGCCTGGAACATGTCAGAGTCCATTGTCCATCCACGCAGCCTCACGCAGGCTTTGGATTAACTCCTCCGCGGAGCGAGACTCTGCCATCTGCTCAACCTGCAGGGCGAGTAATTACCAACCAGCATTGCAGCATCTTAGCCCTCTTCGGGCCTTGGCACACAGTCAAGTCGCCTCACCTCACAGACTCACAGGCCAGCCTCCAGATGGATCCCGCTGATATCGAGCGCAACCTTGCCGGTGGCCAAGCTCGACCACGGGATCTCCAGCCTGGCCAAGGCCCGCCGGCGTGTCGGAATCGAGTATTACGTCGAGTTGCACCTTATAAGCTTTACATAGCCTCTCTCCACGCGGAAGCCGGGCACGCCCAGTAGTGCAAGTACCTGCAAAGCCAAGAAAGCAATGGGGCAAAGGGAGCAGTTGGCCAACGCGCTTCAGCTAGTCCAATTCTATGGGCCTCTGGCTTCACCTTCAACTCCTTCAACTCAAGGCACCCGCTCCAAATGCCTGCAGGATCAGAGCTTGGAATCTCAAATGACTGTTCCAGGCCAGCCTTTGCGCAAAGAGCCCAGGCGGATTCCCTCTATGTAGGGATTTAGGCACCTGGATGTCGAAGCGTGATGCGAGAATGTCCGTTGCCAAACTGATTCGGCAGGGTTTCGTGTTGCAAATCACAAATTACTAGCTAGGGGAGGAGGTGCACACATGACGAAAGCAAGCGCTGGAGAAACAAATCAGGAACTTTGCAAGGCTTCCCACACAAAATACGGATCACAAGTCAAGAGTTGGTGCTCCCTTCCTGGCAGGGGTGGTACCATGCACGAGAACACATCGAACGACTAAATAAGTTCTGGCTTGATTGATTGATCGCTGACTATAGATCAAGTACATCAAACTTCATCAAAACAGGATTGACAGAAAAGCATGATAGGGCAAGCCATCATTCCAATGACAGGCCAAGCAGCAGCAGAATCAGCTGCTCCAATGCTTCCTGAAACATGGCAGGCTTTTGCTGCTGGATCAGGGAAAATGGCGCAATTTCTGCGTCCTAGCAAATCACTCGGTCTCTTGAGCCGCGATGGCAAAAGTCTGAAGCTGCTCTGCATACAATTCGACTCGTCAGGATCACGAACAAAACTGATTCCTACTCACCTAAAGGATCGAGGGGATACTGTTGATGGATAGTTTGGCAGGGCACCCATTTAATCATGGTCAAGTCAAGACAGTGATCCCCAGGAAACAACAGCAGGGCATGCACTCGTCGAACATGCATGCTGCATGCTGATGTGAGTTTGTATCCCCCAAAGCACTGAGGTTCAAACATGAGCAGCAACTACTGCTCGAAGCCAGGCCCGCATGGCCCGCTTGCACAAAGCTCTCTCTGCTTTCTGGCCCCAACAGGCCTCGGAGATGAAAGAACAATTGTTGAAGCATCATAATATACACGTACCACCAGTACAGCCGTGCCATGGCAGTGCCGCAAAAGTGCTACACGCTTTTCTCGCACATCCCGACTAGCCCTTGCAGCATCAGGCTATCTTCCATGTTCCCACGATCATCGCGCTCGTGGCCATTTGCTTCCATGAGTGCTTGCCCTGCGCCTGGAACACATCGTTCCACAAACTTGCGGTCCACTGAAGCGTTGTGTCATTCCAACTCGGCCAGTCATCCGCCCACATCTGTCACAGCCCACGGGGTTGACACGACGCCCGAGGTGGGCTTGAACTCTGAGACCCCTTGGGGATCCCAGACCTTGACGGTGAAGGGCTGCTCCAGGTCTAACCTGGCCAGGCGATGTGGTGATCTGCCGATGCCCGTGCGTAAAGGTAGCTAGCTTAGTGACTCAGTTCACCAAATGCAGCCAGGAGGCAAAATGTTGAGCTTGTCGATTGTATCGCAGATTTTAAGCGCATCCTCCTCGCTCAGGGCACCTCCCATTCGCCTGTTCTTCTGCACATGATCGCCCAAGTGGAAAACAGCCGACGCAATCCTTAGTTCAAATCTTGTGCATGTTGTTTGGCAAGCACAAAGCATGCCTATGGAGCCTAGTCTCATGTTGTAGATGGTGTCCACGCGGCGCTCTGCTCTGGGTCGAATCGAGAACTCAATCTCTGGAATCTCAACCTGTACAGTTGGGCGATTGAGCGTGATTAGAACTCCAGATAGAAACAACTTCAAGTTTAGCTCCGGTCATGCACAAACTCCAAGCCTCAGCTTTAGAGCCCTGCAGTAGAACACGCCAAAGGTCATCTCGCTCCGAAACTGTGAAGGTGAAGCACTTGCCATCCCTGGGTGACAAAGCGACGTGCCACAAAGAAGCATCAAAGCATGTCGTTGCAAAAGTGCATCATGAACAATGCCTGCTGCCCACAGCCTCAAACGTCCTACCCTTTAGCCTCCGAGTCCTTCAATGCGTTGGCGCGAAAGCATTGCCATTGTCTTCCGAGTCCAAGTTGCTGCAAGTCATCTGGTGGCTCAGGCCGCATGGTCGCCCGAGGCTCTGCCTCCTTGCGCTGCATATCAAGATTCTCGCCTCACTGCGCTACTGAGGCATAATTGTCGTGATTCTTCAGATCTTGCCGTATCTGGCCACCTTTCTCGCCATCTTGGCACCAGCAATGCCCCATTCGATTTCATGGTAACGCCTCTCTCTCCTGGCAACCAGCTCTCTCTCGCACGCACTATGTCCTCGACGTCACGACGCACTTCAAACTGAGGAAGTGCTTCGAGAAACTGAACTAGGGGGCCACCGAGAGCCTGCCAGTCATGTCAGAACACTCAGAACACGCACTGGTTTAGCAACAGAGTGCCTCTTCAAGCTCGTCACCATCTTCATAGCCAAGCGTGGCGCATAAATTGAACACGAGGCCCGAAACTGCAACCGCATAGTCTTCACCTGTGCTACACGCTTTATATTCACCCAACATTCCGAACCGCAGCTGCACAAGATCAGGTTCTGGGTCGAGAGGCTCACCCCAGCATGGATTGCTCGAAAGATGTCTTCAAGCTCGTGCACAAACTGGGCCATCTCCTGCTCACTTGCCCAAAGGACCTGGAAATAAAAGGTTAACCTTTTGGGACCTTTACTAAAAATGGACCAAAATGGGAAAACCAAAAGGTCAAAAGGTCGGCTTTGGGCGCCTGGCTAAACAACGGTACAGCTTAAAACCATTCAGCTTGTTCTGATTCCAATTATTCAGCTCTATCGGTACGAGTATCAGATTAGCATGAACAACAAGCCTTGATGTCGTACATTCGTGTTGGATCTTCTCCTAGAACTTTGTCCCTTCTTCTCAAGCTTCTTGAAGGATATTAAGGTACAGGTTATAAACTGTGAGATTTCAACACCCGCAGTGCATGACACTCACGTGCGCTCATTCGCAACATCAAGCCCTCAGAAGCAAACACAAGTATGGGTTCGAGTTGCAGCAACATCAACGTCCTAAGGCCGGTTCTCCCTCGATAATGTTGCCCAACTTTCCCTAACATTCTTCGACATGCTCGCACGGGCTCCTGGTGGGCCAGATCTATGCGAAACGGAACCTTGTCGGGATCACCTTCTGCAGGTGCATCCTTATCTTCGTGACATGGACAAAATCTGCGCTTGCACTGGCAACTACTCAACTACACTCCAATTACTTGAAATTATGTTGTCAAGATCGACTCGCCGCTGCAGCCAGGAAGCTGTTTTGCACAGAGGACAGGAAGCCCTTCTGAGAAGCCATTCAGAAATGCATGAGTGGTGAAAGGAGTGGCCGCAGCTGAGCTTCCGCACTGGGCAGTCTCCGCCCAGCACCTCAAAGCACACAGCGCAGTCCTCGACAGGGAACGCTTCCGTCGCCCCATGCTCTGCCAGCTCCGCGGGCTCGGCTGCTGTCTCCATGGCAGAAGGACCGAAGGACAACAAAGCCACGGGCTCAGTGGGCTCAGTGTCAGCATTTTCAGCCACAAGCCGAGGCGAGATTTTCACAACTCATTCCGAGTGCAAATACAGTACGGCTTTGCACAAGAGCCAGGGGGCCAGCACCAGGGTCCGTGCTCGCTGCCAGGCTTGGAGGTGTTGATGCAATTGGAACTTTCTTATGGTAGCGGCTGTATCTGCCAGCCTCACACACTGACAAGATCGGTGTTTGGGTTTGGCAGCATCCGTCACAACTTTCAAGCGGTTGGAAGCAACTTGGATCCAGGCGATTGCAGCCAGAAAGTCCAAACCAAGCCCTGCACTGCACAACAAAGGTGGATATCGACTGCAATGTCAACTTTCCAACTCCAGCAATTTTGCCACCATCAACAGTCAAGCAACTCGCATGACTCTCCGACTTTGCTCACTGTGTCTCTGGCCACCAGGTTACTTCGTGAATGCAGCACCTGAGTTGCAACATGTTCCAAGACAGCCTTGACACTGGCAGTCCGTGTCGAGCCTAGCAGCTTCAATACTTTTCCTCAGGCCAGGGCGTAGGTCAGCATACGCCAGTGGGTAAAGCAGCTGCTGACCCGACACTGCCTCAAGATAACGCATTGCGGGGTCAAGCAACTTAACGATGGTCGGGCCTGGATTGCTGTTGGAAAGCAATCCAAGTACGAAACATCTGCCTGACAGTCTGGCAGGACTTTACAGCTGCAAAGTTGTTTCCTGAAAAGGGAGATCACCGCCAGCGTCGTATCCGTGCAAAAAAATGTCGGAAGGAATGCATGCAGCAGGCCCCATCCTCAAGCGGTGATGCTGCACACGCCCAGCGAGGCTGCAAGCGCGCCAAGCACAAATGCAGAGTTGCATGAGCTGCAGGTGGACCTCGGACATCAAATGCGCTCAATCAGGACTGATCCTGGACAATCCAGTCCGATAGTCAAGAAACGAGGTACCCACCATCAACAAAGCGGCTCGCCAGAAGTTCAGAGCGCGCTGAAGACCGCTATGTTCAGCATGCGAAAGAGTAGCCTGCGCGTTTAGCTCACATTCGTCTAGGGATTGACGGTAGTGCCCCAGCTGCAAATGGGGCCCCCACACAGAGTCTCCAAAGGCTGCAAGTAGCTCGCAAAAGCTGATTCCAAAGCAGCTTCCTTGCAAAGAGGCTCCGCTGAAGTGAGCTCCATGAGCGCAGGACCTCGCATCACAAAAAAAACGGGAAGCCCTCACTGACAAAAAGAAAGCAAGCTCCGGTTGTTTGAACAACCTTTTGCAAACATCGCAATCAATTGTCGCAGCATGTGCTAGCATTGGCTGCGAAACTCGAGGCCTGAGTTGCTTCGCGACCACAATGCAGCGTCTGCAATTGCTGTTGTGCCTGGTGGCGACCTACGACCAAAGAAAGCCACGAACCGACTGTTGCATGTAATGAAGTAACGACAAGCTTGGATTTCAAATACATAGTCTGACTTGAGTGCCGCTCTGATGATTCTCTGCCAGGCATTCATGGTAGCCATCAGCTGAGCTATCCTGAAGAGAACACTTCGTAGATGCTGCAACCGGTGCAAAACTCGCCGACCAGCGACATCTCCTCAGGCGCTTGCTGCACTGAGCTGCCTCGGTGCTCGAATCTGAGCTGTCTGGAATCCGATTCTGACATAGCAGCTGACCAGGCACTTGGCCCCATAATGGCGTTGCCATTGCGTGAAGCAGGACAGCATACGTAGTCGCCTCAAAGCACTAAGCACTTTGCGCTATCTGCAATACTTGCATACTTGCTCTAACGATCGTGCACGACCACGTGCACAGTCCAAGTAAGACTGCCACCGCGTATCCGTTACAGCAGCTTGCCAGCCACTCAGGGCATTCCTGCCCAATTCAGGCAAATGACAGCCAATGAGTTTCTTGATAGACTGCGTGATGTATATTCATGTTTGCTCTGTATTCCAAAATCCTCAGCACCGCAGCTCGACCGGCGCTGCATCCAAGCCAGGAGCGCAGAATACACCGAAGCCTCTTGCGACAGGCCTGGACAAGCCAGCAACGGCACCTTCGATGCAGAAAGAAGCAAGGTCGGGGCGCGCTTGGCCAGTGTGCGCCATCCCAACAATGGCCACAAAAGCTGTCGTTGCTGCCTTGAGATTCGAACCTGAGCATCAAATCAACAGCATAGAATGTTGTGGAAACATATGACCTCTCTGTCTATCCTCTGCATCACTGGATA